CTCTAGAGGATCCCCCAGAAGCACAGGCAGTTGATGTCACAAAGCTCAGGAAGGCAGTTGAGAATGCGATCAACAGTCAGTATAGATCACTCAACAGACTACCTGCTGCATCTGTTAAGGACTTTGCCTATTCTCTATTCTCAAAGAAGGTCATCAGTGAATCAGTGTGCAGTGATCCAACCATTGATAAGATACTGGGAGAGTTCAAGGCTTCTCTTGGCTTTACAAGGACAATACAAGAGTTTGAAAGTTCTTGTACTAAACTCCTCCAGTCAATGTCTTCTGTGGGTGGTAGTTATCATGCTGCTGGTGCTGCTCTTAAAGATGACCTCATTGATGCTGTTCAGAAAGACTGTAAATATTCATTTAACATTTCAATGTAATAAATTGTGAAGTTTTTAACTGTCAGTGCAATTTTGTTGATTTTCCAAAATATAATTCATAACATGACTAAGCATGCATACATATATGGAAGTCATTAATATTCATTGTCAATACATGACACTATGACCTATTAATTAATAAGCTCTGAATTTACTTCATTATAGCAAGGCCAGCAAAATCTGTTTCCACTGCAGTAATTCTTCTTACACTAGTTAATTTGGTAAGTGTACTGGTGCTATTACTCTATTACTATCCATCAGGCCTATTGCAGCAGAAATCATCAGACATAAAGCAGTTGTTCCAATAGAAAATGAAGTGTACAGGTAAGCATGTGCTATTCCTATCTCTTAAATCAAAGGATTTGTGTTTATAGGCAAATCAGTATGCAAACTCTTTGGCCTGTTAATATTTGGGCTCATACTAATAATAGTCCTTGCTGGCACTCTTATAATAGCACTAAATCCAGAGTTTCTAAATCATAACACTCTGTACATTGGAGATAGCTTGAGAAACACTACAGGTGTACATGAAGCTTCTTCTTCTACAGGAAATGTGAACATGGACTTTAATATTAGAATTGACAGTGTTTATTCCATGTCCAGAAAGCCATCGACAACAACTGAGCGTCTTCCAGAAATAGAAATTGCTTCAAAAGAACATGGCTATTATCAAGATTATAATTACCTTGGAATAAACCAGCCCATTTATCTACTGGCCGATTCAGTTATAAATTACAAAACTACACTTCAAATTAAAGAACCTCACAATTCATTTGATAACTTAGCTTGCGTAATCCTTTTCAACAGTTTAGCAAAATTTGATGACTTTTTCAGACATGGTCTTCACTCAGAGTCTCAGAAGCAATGCTTCACAAATGAGAATAGGTCATCAGTGTCATGGTCATTCAGTATAGCAGAAGAGTCTCAGTATTATGTTGGCATTTCCATCAAAAGAGGTGTGACAGTAACTAGTAATGTATCAATCGACCGTGCTTATTACAATCTATCACAAACAGCAAGAAACATCTGCACTAACTCACTATCCTGTAATATAACAGTCTGTAGTAACATACTACTTTGTGAAAAGTCATACATCATCATAAAGACCAAAGGTATCACTGAAGTGGCTCTATTGGAATATGATATATCATTGAGACAATGGACAATAAGAGCAAGTATTGTACTGCTCCCTTTGTGCAGTCTAGCACTGATAATCATTGTATCCAGTTACATTAGATGCTACAAGTGTCATCAAGATACCAAAAGAAGAGCTGATGATGATAGCGCTAGTGTTGCCAGTTCTTCATTGCTTGAAATGGAAACACCTTTTGATGATGATGATGATCGCATTAAATTGATTCCTGATTCAAATCAAAGTAAGTTAATACACAATTGACTATTAATGATTCTTTGGCAGGACCACCCAGCAGAAATGAGGATGAAAGAAATGAAGAAAGTGACATTTCTCAGCACAATAGTATGTTATTTTTAATCTGCCACTGTTAATGTTAATGAAAATACTCATAGGGACTTCATCAATTCCAATTCCACTGAGTGAAGAGCTATTACAAAATGCCAAAGGTTTGATATAATCATCAAGTTGTTTCTATGATTGTTGATTTGTTGTGTTCTTATAGATACATTTGATGAAACTCCAAAGCTACAAGTAGGTAGTAATCGAACAGAATATCACAGCAGTCAGTATGGAGTGACTCTCATTATTCCAGAGGGAGCAGTGCAAGGATCAGCTACTGTATGGTTTGGAGCAGTTCTCTTCAGTGATAAGTTTGAGTTTGGTGATTATGTACGTGTATCCCCCATAGTGTGGGTCCACAGTGATAGAGAGTTGGATAAATGTGCTGAGTTGTATATTCCTCATGACATTGTCACCAACAGTGAAGATGATCTACAGAAATTCACCCTATTAGAGTTTGACAAAATTTCAAATATTTGCACAGATAAATTTAATGTTGGTCAACATGATAGAATGAAGTGGGGCTCTAGACAGCTAGTCAAAATTGAGTGTCAGGATTTTCATTCTTATTGCATTGCTGTTCATAAGAATCTCTTTGATATTGTTTCAAAGCAATACTTGATGGCAATAATTGAAAAAAAGAATGAAAAAGAAGAGCTGCTAGTTGACTTCATTCTCATATGCCGTCAGCAAGGATGGAAAAAGGTAAATCAGTAAATGTTTATTAAAATTCAATATACTGTTGCATGTACAGATAATAGCCCAGTGAGATCAGGAAGGATTTAAGATAGTGAAATATGAGCCAGTTTCATTCAAAAGAGGTCATGAACTTGAATTATCTGTTCCATTTGAAGCACAACATATCAACAATATGATAAGAAAATACACAGCAAAAGTAATGTCCTGAATTATAGTTAACTAATTTTATTTATTTATTCATCATACAGATTCCAGTATCTATTAGAGATATTGAGTTGCTAGACCAGTTAAACGAAAAAATTAAATTTCGAGATCTTCCCCGTTTTAGAATACAGTTCACTCATGTAGGCACAACAATCAGACATAAGCACGCCAAAGAAGTAACAGTCAGATTTAATAAAGGTTCTTCTAGATCTCCTGGTAACTTAAATACAGTCTTGCTAAGAAGTAGTCCTCTAAAACTAGACACTGGATTGACAAGTAGGCAACACATAATTTTTGGTAATTGTATTTATTGTATGTATTTATAGAAAATGATTCAGTACTGACAGAGTTCATACGCATCATTGAAGCAGAGCAGAGATTGAACACCTTGTGGCATGCTTTAGGGAGTCGTCTAAACCTTAGTGTTGATGAGCTGAGTGAGATTGAAGCCATGTCCAACAATCCTGATCAATGTACAGCCAGACTAATTGATAGATGGAAGAGAAAGAACAAAAGGGATGATTCTTGGGATACACTAGCAGCAGCACTGGATGACATTGGATTTAATGAATTAGCACGCAGAGTCGGAAATCTTATTAAAACTCAGAAACTAAGTTAGTTTGTCAATATCATATGCTATAGTATAAAAAACTTACAAAATTTCTACAAATTCCCAATTCTTATCAATGTCCTCTTAGACCCTGCAGCTGCATACTTTCAGTCAAACTTTGATGATATCGAAAGTTCAATTGCTGCAAGATTAGATCAAGCATTGCCGAAGTTCTTTGGAGCTGGACTGATATCTCAAAGTCTACACAATAATGTGCTGAGCATGGATAAACCTAACAGTCACAAGTCAGCACTAGTCACTACAGAACTTTTGAGAGGAATTAAGGACAGCAGGGATCCAAGCAAGAGGCTTGAGAGAATATGCAAGATTTTCCTAAAACTGGAAGATGAGAAGCTAAAAGAAATTGTTGAGGGCATAGGTAAGGGAAAGGTTAAAAATGATGCATATTGATGACTAAGCCTTTTTAGCTTCGGGAAATATTTTTGCCAAAACAGCTAGACATCCTGTATCACACCCCAAGGAATATTCAAAGCGAAACACAGAAGAAGACATTGAAGAAATTGAATTGTAATGATTAGCTAGTGTGCCATTATTGTAGTTTTCAGAAACCTAGATCTATGTAGTTTTAAATTTATCACAATTATTTGACTATCAGTGATTTAATCTAAATGGACATGAACATGTGTTCGTGCATTAATTAAAATAAATACATTTGACACAGTACTATCCTCCCATAGCAACCAAAGACATTCACATAACGATCATTGTACACGTAGACTGACCTGAAAGTACTTGTTCCAGAGATTGAATCCTCATACCGCATAAGTGATTTTTTTAAAGCGTTGAAATTTCTCCCTGATTTGCAAAAATTTAAATACAATACCCACATGGCACATCGTAGAATTTACGGAGTTAAAATCTGGGAATTGAAATTTTAGTAGATTTTGCGGATATAATTCCCTCAAAAAAAACTTACCACTTTTGTCAGCCTCGCCCACACAAAATGACTCAGTTGGTTTTGTTGAAATCTGGAAACTAATTCACTGGTCACTGAGAAGAGACAACCTGTAATGGGAAGATTAGACAGTTAGGTGCAGCCTCATTATTCATCTTACAGGATAAAATCACAAACGGAGTTAGCAGACATTCTGAAGCACCCACGTGAAGGCACGAGTCAAGTTATGCATAATTTCCGTAAATTTCAGTATACTCATACAACAGAGCGAATTTTGACAATAATGAAAGCAAGAGTAGAAATTATGAAAAATAATAATAATTGTAAATGATATTCATTACATCTAAAGCTGTAATCTTCTTCTATTTTCTGATAATAAATAGAAAATGCTAATTGAAAAGGAATGATACAATAGTATAGTACAGCTGGAGATTTGGAGTGCAATGATGATTTCAATGATTTCTGTCACGCCCACAAATTGAAATTATTAAAATAAAGTAAAAGTAAATAGAAAATAATACTGTATTAATTAATTAAATACTTCATAATACATTTATTAAATACTATTGGAAGGGTCTATCATTTTTTTCAATTATATAAAGTTTTATATGGTTCAGCGAGACATAAACAGTCTTGCTAGTATCACCAATGAGGAACAAACTGGTAAGAGCGTCGACTAACGTTCTGGGAATTATCAGGTCACAACCTTGATACTATAAGCCCTGTTCACACACTAGGGCCAAAGACGCAAAATACTACGTAACATGCCTAGCTCCAATCCTAAAGAATATAGGATATCATCATTACTCCATTTCACACACATTTTTTACCATATGGAATGCAAACTAGATGGTATTTTCTCCAATGGATCTGCAGAATCTAAATAAAAAAGTTCATAACTGATACATAAAATAAGTTTAACTAACCAGAAGACAATCGACAACGATCATAATAATCAGTCTTATCAATAGAGTCACTAGCAACAATGCTAAAAAAGAACATAATGTGTATTATTATTATTATGATCAAACAAGACTTGATTTATCTAAACTCTTAAACCACAACCCAAGCTAGCATTAAGGTGGATTTACAATATTATGCTAGTCCTGATGTTACGTTGACGCAGCTAGGAGTTGAATTTGGTTCAACTCTAGTGTATAGCATGCGTGAAAAGGTCAAATTGCCTATGCTTTTGATTAAAAATTGATGATACTTTGGCCTAACGTCATATTACAAATCTGCCTTAACATTGACTATTTGACTGAGTACATGTACATAAATGCACCATTACTTTTGAATATCTTGCAATTTATAATTTTCAGCTACAATGTCCATATACTTTACATCAGCGAAAGAAGGCGGAACGTCACCAATATTTAAGCCTGAAAAACGTTGGTATTAAATACACAAGAATTGATATTACTAACCATATCCATTAGAAAGGTCACTAGTATTGTTACTATTATGATGCAAGCATAATACTATTATTATAAACATAACTTACTTCAGTGAATAATAGATATTACTTGGTGACCTGGCACAGACAGGTATGAGTGGCAAGTCCTTCTTAAATATGGGGACTTTCTCGATTTGAAGCTGAGCACAAAGCTGATGATTCAATTCCTCTGCAACAAGAAGATGTTTAGCCGCAGCTTCAAATTCAGCTTGCACAGTACTTAGCCTCTCATTAAAAGATGTAAGATCGTCTTCCTTCATACGTTCCAAATCGCTTATTTCTTCTAATTTCACTCCAACTTCCCTTTTCAATCCTCTAACTTTATCCTTTTCAAAGTCCAATTTCACTTTCCATGCTGTTTCAGCAGATTCCAGTTTAGCAATCCTCCTCGTCAAATGGACAATGTGACGATCCTTCTTCTCTAATTCAGATTGAAATTGCTCCTTTGATTTATCTAATTTGTCAGTCAAAATCACCTGAAATTCTTCCCAGCGCTTCTTCTCAAGCTTCAATTTCTTGTTTTCCTTTTTGTAGTACTCTGCTTCATTCGACAAATGTTTCTGTGCCTTACACATGCTATGGTACTCTCTACCACAGCGATCCAATGCTTTTTGTTTCTTTGGTTTTCGTCTCACAATTTTCCCTAAGTTCAGACAGGCAAGTTCCAAAATAAAGATGGCGGCTAAGACGGACCAATAATTAAAGATTATGCCTAATATAGCAACTAAAACAGCAACTATATGTAGGCCTAGAAAAAGGTACAAGATCGATTATATAACAGATTAAGGTTTGACATAAAGTAAAGAAATAGGTTTTTAAATTCCCAGCATAGCTTATAGTACATGTACTACATGTCATGACACCATAAATGGCAGTGAAAGCGGGTTCAGAATATTTGTGTTGTGACTGGAAGTGCTTATAAACGCAATGATAAGTGCAACAATAGAACTATGCTTTATTCTTGCACTTACTCGTGCGTTTATATAGCACTTCAGGCCGCAACAAAAGATACTCTGAACCCATAGGTCATAACAAATATTCATTATACATAATGAATATCATTATGTATAATGAACAATTATTATTACACGTCAGCATATGGTGCTAAGTGATTTTTCCATATTAAGTCAATCATTAGCCAGACGAGTCACATGCCTCGTAACATGCACATGAATGACCAAATAAGGAAAAACTTAAACGAGACTAGGGGAAACTGCATCAATTTTAAATACAACTTGCAAAGCATATTTTATATCATTACTTTAATAAAATAATCTAGTGACTGCATGCTCACCTGAAAGAAAGCGTTCAATGGTCTTCATCATATTCTACGATGGATAGCAACGTCTGGACTATGAGGAGGTGAAAGATTGTCAGAACTGTCATAGATCAGAAAGGTGAGGTTCTTTAAAATCTAAGCAGTAAACACACTAGTGAATCGAATCAACCAGGCAATAGACAAAAGCCTCGGATTGCAAAGAACCAAAACCGAGGGAGAAGGTAGAGAGAGCGAGAGGGTGTTGCCCTGGAAATTTTGTTAATTTCGGATAACCAGATAAAATCCGGACGTTTCCAATTCTCATTATTTATTCATTATTAATTTTTACTCCCCCCATTTCCCTGAGCTGTATTAATTTTCTGTGATTTGTAAAAATTAAAAAGTTAGACTAATCTTGCATGCAAGATTAGTCTAACTTTTTAATTTTTACAAATCACAGAAAATTAAAAAGGCAAAATGATTCCTTGAAATACTTCTGAAAAAATTAAAATGACAACAAACAATAAAATAACATGCTATGTGATTAGACAATTAGGTGTAGGCGGATCATTATTGTTATTCCTCGTAGTATTACAGGATAAAGTTATAAATGGAGTTAGTATAAACTGGAAGTACCCACGTGAAGGCACGAGTCTCTAGATTCATGCATAAATATTTCCGTAAATTCCTGTAGACTCATACAATACAGCAAATTTTGACAATAACATTAATGAATAAAGATAAATAATAATAATTGCAATAAATGTCCATTACAGCTGTAATCTTCATAATAAATAGCATATGCTAATTGAAAAGGAATATATATAATATAAAAATATAGTACAGTTGAGAGACTTGCTCAGTTAAAGAGTACAATGATTTCGTTAATTCCTTTTACTAGTCCAACATACACTAGGTAACTTTGTCACCAGAGCTTTTGATGCCATCAGGTAACTTGTTGCTGCTCAAAGTTGAGAGTCTCTCTACTTCATACAAAACATGTTGCAACTAACGACACAAAAGCTCTGACCACAAGTTGAAAGTTGCCTAGCTATGTCGAGATCAAGTGAAGCTCAGTGACAGGTGCAGGAGGAGGGAATGGAAGAAATAAAGGAGACACAACTAATCGATCTAAAAGTGTATAAAAAGTTAAAAGCATCAATATACACACTATATAACTATTGGACAGGCTTACCATGATAATTTGAAATTTCCAAGCTATATGGTATAAAGTCCATAGGAGGTATATCTATTAATAATATTACATTAATACACAGTAAGACAGTGTATAGTAACACTGACCAGTGGATACTTGAGAATAATAGCTGGTTGCTTCCATTGGAATATAATAATAACTACAATGAAAGGAAATTTGATAAGTAGCTGCTTATCAAAGGACAAAGTTCAGTCATTATGGTCAATTTGAATACTAAGGTTATATAACCTCTTAATGTAATCACACACGGAATGCTAGAGTAACTTGTATACAATTTTGAGCAACTTTAAAGGTTCGTAAAAATTCCAAATTTGATCTAAACCAGGTCAAACTTTCTACTCAACATAAAAACATGTATGTGTATCAGAAAATGTAATAAAAATGTAGAATTCTCTACTTTTCATTTTGGCAAAATTGGGCCAAAGTCCCTGTACTATAGTACAGGGATTTTGGTCAAATTTTGAAGCAAGTTAAAAAATTTGTAAAAAATCCAAATTTGATCGGAATTAGCTCAAGCTTTCTACGTAACATAAGTACATGTATATGCATCAGAAAATGTAATAAAAATTGAGCATTCTCTACTTTTCATTTTTGGAAAAATTTGGCCAAGTCCCTGTACTATAGTACAGGCACTTTGGCCCAATTTTGGAGAAACTTTAAAAATTCGTAAAAATTCATAATTTGATCGGAATTAGCTCAAACTTTCTACGCAACACAAGTACATGTATATGTATCAGGAAATGTAATAAAAATGGAGAATTCTCTCCTTTTCATTTTTGGGAAAATTTGGCCAGAGACCATGTACTATAGTACAGGGACTTTGGTCCGATTTTGGAGCAAGTTAAAAAATTTGTAAAAAATCCAAATTTGATCGGAATTAGCTCAAACTTTCTACGCAACATAAGTACATGTATATGCATCAGAAAATGTAATAAAAATTGAGAATTCTCTATATACTTTTCATTTTTGAAAAAATTTGTCCAAAGTCCCTGAACTATAGTACAGGGACTTTGGCCCAATTTTGAAGAAACTTTAAAAATTCGTAAAAATTCCAAATTTGATCGGAACCAGCTCAAACTTTTTACGCATCATAAGTACATGTATATGTATCAGGAAATGTAATTAAAATGGGGAATTCTCTCCTTTTCATTTTTGGGAAAATTTGGCCCGAGACCATGTACAGGGACTTTGGTCTGATTTTGGAGCAAGTTTTAAAATCTACACTAACAAGAAGCACAATATTAATCTCCACACATTACACATTATATAGTCTATAAATGGCAGCAACTGTGTTGTTCTTAATTAACAATGAACAGTCAGTCAGACACATAATAGTTAACATCAAAATATACAAGAGATTACAAGACTATTGTTCTTATTCTTACTAGTTCCACTCATCAATGAAGAGGTTGTTTGTCACTAAAGCATGATGAGTGTACTGAGCATTATAATGATGATCAGGAGGATAGGCCTCTTCAACTAAAAACAACAAAAGAAACCTTACAATGATTTGTCAATGACCACAACGAAGAGTCCCTGTTGTGTACTCTTGATATAATGACAACAATCAATCAATACTGACACTAAATGGAACCTACCATCAGACAGGTCGGTAATGTCATTTCTAGGAAAACTAAAAGTAAACATTAATTTCATTAGTGAATGTATCAACATACTCTTCTTCTGGAGTAGGGAGGCATACACCTGACTCTGTTGGACTTGGCAAGTGACATGTCTCATGAATCAAATTTGAAGTCTCATCAACACTTTGTTCCAAAGAATCATTGTGTATCACGAAGAGATGATCCAAACCTGAAATGACGTATGCTATTACAATTTTAAGTGCCTCTTCATGTTGCCATATTTGATGTTCTTTACTGTTTAAAGTTTCAGCTAAAAAAGCAACTTCGTCCTTACTAGCAGTGAGATCTTCTTGCAGCTGGCTCAGTTCTGAGTATTTGGTGCTCAAATCATCTTGTAAAAATATTAACATTTTGTCACGTTCCGTGAGTGAATCTGACAGCTGTTGAAGCTCTCCTTTGTTGCTGATTAACTGACGATTCATTGACAATGACTCATTGTTGGCTTCATGCAGCTTGTGCTTGAGCTCTTGAATCTCTTCCTCACTACTCAAAATGGTTTGATTAAGAATCGCTTCTTCCTTCAGCCTATTTTCACTATTAGCTCGAATAACTTGCTTCCCATGCTTGAGTCTTTCATCCTTAATGTGTAGCTCCTTTTTCAAATCGTGTACCTTCTTTGCCATCTTATCTAAAGCAAGATCTTTATCCTCTTTCTCTTTTCTTAATTTTCTGTTTTCTTCTATTAATTCGTTATTGGCCCTTTTAGTAGCTTCATAATCTTTCCACAAATGGGTCTGGCTCTTGCACATCCTATGGTAGTCCATGTCGTACACATTGGTTGTTTGTTTGGGTCTTTCTTCTTTTCTCTTCTCTTTGACATGATGACAAAGACTCTTATATGCATACGCTGCCATGTACACAACTAACTGTCCAGTAATGGCTACCAGCCACAAGTCCCTGTCAATTGCATAATGACCCGTGGAAAAGACATTCTCAAAAAGAGCAAGTGAACCTATAGTACAAAATCAATTTAAATCAATTATTATCCTTGATTAAATCAAAAATGCAATGATAGACAAAGCATTAATTAATACCCACTTAATTCAAGCAGTGACAAAGACAACTATGTTTGCCATCCAAGCAAATATTTGCCACAAATGGATGCTCGTGCTTGTCTCGTTTGCAATTAATCTGGCTGATTAGTCATACTATACCATGTGCAGCTAATGATTTCACTCAGCCAAAGGACAGAACAACCAGCTATGCATAAATTGTGCTTTTATTCATTGGTTCAAAGGCTAAAATTCAGTGGCGGATCTATGGGGGGGCCAGGGGGGGGCAATGCCCCCCAAAAATTTTCTGGAGTAATATAAACTTTGGTTTACCTATGTAAACTGTGAAGCAGCTGCAGTACTGGACTATGTAAACTATCTTTAAACCACAAAGGAGCTCATTTTAGCAGGCTTAGTCTTCATAATTTTTACTTCCCCAAAAGTTTTTGCACAAGCTTAGTTGACCACACCCCCTAATTACCCCTCCCATCTCACAATTGCCCCCCCAAAAATTAAATCCTAGATCCGCCCTTGCTAAAATTCCAATTCCATATATGTCAATCACAGTCAATGAGACTCTTTGTAGAGTGACAATGGCTACCTAATGCCAATTAGTCAGGCGGGGTCAGGCCGGCCTGACTAGATGCCAATAGGTCAGGCTCCGCCTGACTAAATGGCCAATGGGTCAACTGGAATATATGCCATCTAGAATCACACCCTCTCATCAATAGTACTAGGGCACCCTCCCGGGCTGGGGTCGGGGACTCGGGGGGTTTTTACTTCCCATGGCAAATATTCCAGTTAATCCACACAAATCAGTAACATTAAATTATGTCTCAACATGAAGAGCTGGGGGCAGGCGGGAGCTAGCATCTCCCAGCGGTCAGTATGCACCCCCAGACATGATTTGCGACAGACTGTGCCCGAAAGGCGAAGCATACAGTGTATAATCATAGACAATATGCAGAAACTAACCGAGGGGCAACCCGGCCAAAAGACAGGAGACTATAATGACCTTTAATACAGCTATCATCAGCGGATGAATCACCAGTGATACTGAATATAGAAAGAACAAAAGGGCTAACACAGTCACTTGGAAAGGAAGCGGAGACAACTGTCACACCAGGATAGGAGTGACCATATATAGTATCTATGGAGTGACAGTCTGACAGATGCAAAAAATTAATCATCGTCAAATGCTATTAAGAAATGCAATGCACGTGGGTGGGGGATGGCCGACACATGCATGCCATGCAGCAAATTATTGGTTATAATACCAGATGGCCTGTAAATATTATTCATAAAAATTAATATTGATATAATCATAGATAGTAGAGTCTAAATAGTTATAATAATAGAGTATAATAGTATAAATAGCTGCAGCAGAATAAGAATATCAATAATATAAACTATGAGGCTAAATAGACTTCTGGTTAACGCTATTGAATAAAATTAATAATTATAATGCTAAAGTTATAATCATAAGTGTCAATTAAGTGATATCATGATATTTCAGTATATCATGTGGGAGCCAGGAGTGCCGCTGAGTCTGTAGAAGTTGAGTAAAAGTCTCGCCATATCACGAAAGTCTTCATTTGGAATAAACATGTCACACGCACAGTTCCATTCCTAGTTATAGAACTCATAGTAACTCAGGACTGACATTACATTTTATATTACCATTTGGCTTTATATAGTAAGCACTGGCCGGTACAGTCTCAGATTTATCTGCATCATCTAAAAGAAGCTTATTTCATATGGGACATAAAATAATTTAAACTAACCAGAAGACAGCCAGCAGTGATCGTCATTACTATTAACAGCAAAAAAAAACAAGTTACATTTGTAAGTAATAATTGAATATAATATTATCTTATTATAATTCAGTTAATGGCAATACATGTAGTTTGAATAGTCTGCTTTCTTATGTAACTAGACTACACCACAGCCCAGCCTTTAAGGGCAGTTTTATTTGGTCCCAAGGTGTCCAGAATAGACAGGTTTGACTGTATATCAACTGTAAAACTTACTTTTGTCCCATATTACTGCCCAAGCCACACATAGGCATGAAGTGAGGGTAACTATCAGTCTTAGATACAACAACGCTATTATAATCCATGTAAGATTGAATCAAGTGCTCACACGGAGGATTATCTAAACATTAAAATAGTCTACCAAAAATACAAACAACTTACCATCTCCATCAGAGAGGTCACAAATACGCTCACTAAATGAAATAATTAAAATCAAAAAATTGATATCAATGCTGCATTATCTAACTTTTCCTCATTTTCTTTTCTTGATCTCTTTGCTTCCTCCTTGGAGCTCTTCAACTGACTTGACAGCTTTGTCCGCATCTTACACATCTTAAGAGCCTTCCAAACTACTTCCCGGCGTCTTTTTGACATTTTGACTAGTTTAAAAAGTAAGAAGGTATAGTGTAAACACACACACACATTGTAGTGTAGAAGTAGTAGTGTCATAATTATTTCTATGAATCTTCTTTCATATTCATGTACAACTTTCACACTCTAGTCCACGCCTTTTATGGCATTCAGGAAATTGCATGCCTAGGCTAAAATCACACCACCATCCATTATAGAACAAAGGAGTGTTGCATGCACAATTGCACCATAAATCGAGCCATGAACACAATACTTATCTAGCTTACTAATCATATAGTGTCCAGTCAATCCCGGCATCTCTAGAAGCTATAGTCAACCGCTCTAGTAGTGACTAAAGTCTTGAAAGAAATATCCAACTTTGTGATATAGTCTCGCGAGCCAGACTCAACCAACAAAGGAAGAACAATGTTAGGTGTCTTATTGAAGGAACACGAGCAGTGGGGGAGTTACAGCAAAACACAGGACTGACAGAGCCTAGACGATCATTTTAAAATTTAAATGATCATCGGGTTTAATACCCAAGTTAGGGTCCGCAACATGAAAAATCAAATGTTACAAAAAGGTTTCTTTACTTTATTAGCAGAACTTAGCACCTGTTAGTGTACTAAATGTACAAGAAAGAAAAGGATCCGACTCTTCTCTGCAGATAAATAATAATAATTTGCTTTTAATTGACCACGCCTTCTTTATTTAACTTAATATTAAATTTAACTCTGTAAAAGTCCGCGCTAACTTTGCTGACATTACTCGGCACAGCAGTACTGAGTCTTAGGTGAGTATGCATGACAAAATTAGACCCCTATGTTTTAAAACATTTGGCAAAAGAGCTCAAACTTTTCCTGAGGGTGAGCACACCACCCAACATTTGCTTAATTATTTTGATGAAAAATGAAAAGCCCAAGTTTCTCATTGTACTGTTGTATTAGGTAGTAGTTGATAGGTTAATAGTGTAAGTACTGTGGTTATTTGACTTTGATTACCACATGAAAAGTTAAGTTTTTGTGTACTTGCAGCCATTTTAACATTAAAATGGGCGTGGTTTTAATTTTTTTAATTATGTAGGTTTGATGTTTTTTCATTGCCATTATTTTTGTAATGGCTCTGAAGGAAGTACCATTATTTTCATTATGGCTCAGAAGGAAGTGCAAGGTATTTAAATGAAGCCACTCAGTATCCACTTA